AAACAATCACAACTATCCAAGATACCAACTTTGAGTATGAAGATTTAGTACAGGAACATTAGATGGAAACTGAGCCAATGGAGGAACAAATTGCCAGCCGCTATTCTCTTATTTTTTTGTGATCATTTGTAAGTGTAGAAGCTGTGAAAAAAATCCCAACCCTTGAGGACGCGCGCACCCCCCCCCCCCCCCCCTTTACGGGCGCACATCCCGTTTTTAGCGATATCTCAACAACAACTTGTCAAAAGGTCTTTGATTTGGTCTAAAATGAAAGCTCATCAAATTCTGTTTCCCACCAATAGCCATTTTCGTAATTCAGACTGCTTCTTTTCCCCAAAAAGGGCGGCATACCGCCCCCCCCCCTCCCCAAGGAGGCGTGTATAACTCGTTCAAAACAATATCTCAAAAACTACCGATCCAAAGGTCTTTCATTCGGTCTCAAATGTAAGTCTTTGAAATGCTATTGAGCAAACATGCCCCAAAAATGGCGAACAAATCGTTCTTAGCGCTATCTCGAAAACTAATGCTCCAAATGAATCTCATCTGGTCTGAAATTAAAGCTTTTGAAATTATGTTGAGCAAGCATGCCCATTTATTCGGGCGCGACAACACTTCCCCCAAAAATGGCGGTAGTCACTCTAAGAACGGGAATATAACTCATTTATAGAGCTATCTCAACAACTGTGGATCCAAAAGTTTTTCATTTGGTCTGGAATTAGGTAGGACCACCCCCCCCCTTTCAAAGCGCATAACTCGTTCTTAGTAATATCTCGAAAACTACGAATCCAAAAGTGTTTAATTTGGTCTTCAATTAAAACTCTGGAGATTCAGCTGGACATTCGTGGCCATTCTTTTACTTGGGACCATTTCTTTCCCCTAAAAATGGCAGAGCTCCCCCCAAAAGGATGCATGACTCATTTTTAGCGATATCTCGGAAACTACCAATCTGAAAGTCTTCCATTTCGATTCAAATGAAAGCCCTTGAAATTTGAATGCCGCCTGAGAGGTACGAGACCCTCTCCCCCCTCCCAACAGGGGCAAAAGATTTTGAGAAGGAGATATGGTCAAATTTTACAGTTTATAATGAGGAGATATCGATAAAATCGGAGTTAAAACAGTCGAATTGCGCCATTTTCGCTGCATCGAAATATTTTGCTATAAATTTTTTGGAGGAGGGGAGGGGAGGGGGAAGTCCTGCAATTAACAGTGATTTTGTAATCTTGTCAGAATTTTAAGAGCTATTAAGATAAGATCCTTTGGGATCAGCAGTTTTCGAGATACCGCTAAAGACGAGTTATTCGCCCTTTGGGGAAGATTGCTACCATTGGGTGGGGAGTAAGTTCTCTGAATTCTACGATTTAGCGATCAATAAGCGCTTTGTCTGCTTCTCGTTATGACTGCTTGACCGTAATTTTGTAATGACTCCATCATTTTGGACACCTAATGTCAAACTATTTTATTACAGGTTACAGAACCACTGTCTATCGAGCTCCTAAGAAAACTAACTGTTAAAACCCGAAATGCAAATTCTCCGCCATTTTGATCGGCCGCCATCTTGGAAAGGCTTGAGGACTTTGACAACCTGATATCAAATTCATCTTTTCCGTGTCAAATAACCCTGGACTACGGACTTCCAGGCATTTCCATCAGCAGAAACCCCTGAAAACCCTTCAGAACAGGGACCCCGCCATTTTGATCGGCCGCCATCTTGGAAAGGCCTTGGAATTGTGACAGCCTGATGTCAAATTCGTCTTTTCCGTGTCAAGTAACCCTCGTGTTAGAGGTTTTCGGTAATTTCTTTGATAAGAACCCCTGAGAAACCGCCAAAACTGGTTTCCCGCCATCTTGTCAAAAATTGAGATATCAACCTGAACTTTGCGCCAAAAATTTTCTTTTCTTATTACCTATCCAACGATGTGTCACGTGAAAAAGGGTTCCCATTTGACAAAAAAAGTTAGGGTCCAGAGCCCCCCCCCCCTCCAAAAGGGGGCCCAAAAATGTTGGGGAGTCAAACAAGTAGTTTACTATTACACAGGAGCAATGTCAACATTTCAAGTCTCTATATCTCAAATCGTAATGTCAACATTTCAAGTCTCTATATCTCAATTCATTCTAAAGTTACACGGGTGTCCTAAGACTTTTGGGTCACCCTGTACACACGGCAAATTACTGATTTTCGGCAAAAAAGTAGGAGGAACCAAACATTTATGGTATGTTTGGTTTTCAAAAGATCCGTGGAAACTACTCTAGTGAGTTTTTGGTATTGGAAAATTGCTCAATAAATATAATGACTGAATCTTTAGGTGCTCTGTGAGGATGATAATGAGGTATATTTTTAAAACCAAAGCGTTGGTATGAATTTTCGGTGGAAAAGCAAAAAATGTCGACATGTTTTGACTTTGAGAGCATCATTACAAACAACTGAAGAGGATCTCCCGCGATGCAGAATAGTTCAATACATGTTATGTCTACAACTTTTATACTATGAACAGATCTCTCATTCCTTATCTCACATTGCTTACTGTATTCAACATTAAAGAGCTTGATGCAAACACGGCTTTTTTCGTGCCCAGCTTCCCTCCCCTAGAATTTCTTCAAACTTTAACTGTTGATTACTCATACTTGAGCCCTTCTTTCCCCAAATTTTCAGACCTCCGAAAAATTTGGGAGGGGGGGCGGGGCGCTAGGTGGGGTGGAAGTCAAAACCTAAGGACCTCGATATCTCACCGAGTGCCACTACCAATAGTTAACCTGTAAAAAACTAGTTTGACATTCAGTGTCAAAAATGATGGAGCCCTTACACAATTGCGGCCAAGCAGTCATAACGAGATGCAGACAAGGTGCTTATTGATCGCTGAATCGTAGAATTCAGAGCGTAGCTCTCAGCCAGTTGAAAAGCAAATTTTCTGCTTCGTAATTTCAACTGCCTACGACACACTATGGGGTGGTGGCTGCGCTTCGAGTCCCTCTCGTCCCGCCACCCAACCATTAGAGGCATATCGAGAAAAATCGCCCATAAAAAATTAAATTAATTCTACCTGTAGAAAATGTCTGATTCTTTTTCGTAACCGCGAGAAAAAATCGAGAAATTCCTGCGAGAATATGATTATTGACGTCCAGCATCATGACATTGGCCAGTAGGATTGGCTTTCTGGCTTCCTCCAGGACTCGAATTTCCCGATTTTTTCTTGCGGTTACGAAAAAGAATCAGACATTTTCTACAGGTAGAATTAATTTAATTTTTTATGGACGATTTTTCTCCATGTGCCTCTAATGGTTGGGTGGCAGGGAGGCTCGAGAGGGACTCGAAACGCAGGCACCTTCCCGTGGTGTGTCCTGGGCAGTTGAAATTACAAAGCAGAAAATTTGCTTTTCAACTGGCTGAGAGCTACGCTCTGAATTCTACGATTCAGCGATCAATAAGCGCCTTGTCTGCTCCCCGTTATGACTGCTTGGCCCCAATTTTGTAAGGGCTCCTTCATTTTTGACACCTAATGTCAAACTAGTTTATTACAAGTTAAAGAACCCCTGTCTATCAGGATCCTGGGAGAACTAACTGTTAAAACCCGAAATGCAAATTCTCCGCCACTGGTGAAGGTCGGTGGGAGGTGGAAATTACATGGTGAAATTGGCATTGGCCCAATACCGCAATTTCACCATGTAACGCCGTTTGCTGGTTTTTATTTTAATTTCTTTTTTATTTTTAATTCTATTTTAGCAGTTGATAATGGTGCCGTAAGGTACCGAAACGTCCTGCCTTTGTATTTTATATTTTAGCCTTGTTTCCGCATTTTCCTGTGTTTTCGATTGTCTATTTAAAGCTACATATACTTGTTCACTGCAAAAATTGTCAAAAAAAAAACAAAAAAAACTGCTCTTGAATCCTAATCTTTTTTCAGCTGCAAAATATAGGACCGACTTATGGCCAAGAAGAGTACGTTGAAAACGCATAAAACTAAAGTTCATTTAATAGAATAAACACATTTGGCCCCTTGATTTCATCTTCTCTTCCTCTGCAGAAGAAAAATTTTTCATCTCGACACATATTGAATATAAATAAGTTTCAGAATTCACTTTTAGTATCTGATAAGCTCAAGAAAACCACCCCCCCCCTCTCCTTCCTCTAAAAAAAATCGAAGGTTATCCTTGTAAATACGGACCAATTTTTAAAAATTACTACTTTCTTAAATTCAGTACAATGAAATATTATACAAAAATCTTAATTTTGAAAAAAAATAGCACCTGAATCATTTCCATCAGCCATCGCATCAAGAACAACAGGGGGAGCAAAATCTTTATCAAACCAGGTAGGCTGGTAAGTGCTGATGTCCACAATTTTCCATCTGTACTCCTCAGGGTTCAAAAAGTAGGAATCCACTTTTTCAGCTCTGAGCCACACGCAAGCTTGATAAATGCTGCACCACACTAAATTGATAGGGGGGTATTGATAAAGAATCAAAGACCGCAACCGTTTTCAGTAGAGGTTCATTCAAGTGTTTTCGGCATGAAGGCATTATCGAACTTAAAATACCGCACATCATTCACTCAGAGACATTTTGGAAACCCGTAGAGAGAGCATACAAAACTTTCAGCGATTTCACTACCCAAGAAAATCTGGCAATCGTTCGTTCCAAAGTCTTCGCATTAACTCAACAAAATGAGGGTTTTTTCCAAAACCTTAAATGGTACTGCCTTGCCCTTCTTAGAAGAGCTTGACGTGGTGTCACACCCTGTAAAAGTGTGAAAACCCGGCAGTACACAGGTGAGATCTTTTCCAAGTGAGACAAAAAATTCGTTGATATCAATGAGTTGAAGGGCGTTCGGAGGGACATCGAATGCATCGAAGCCATCAATGATCAATTAAAATGCAAAATGAAAGCTCTTCAGGACGGTTTGGCAACCGTTTAGTCATCGAAACTGACCGCCAGGCCCAGGAATAGTGATTTGTGATGATTTTTCCGATAAAATGAGACTGGTCCCATTTCATAGATCATTCCGGTTGAAATTTCGGAAAATTTTCAAAATTTAAATTGGTCTGGCGACCATTCGATCATCACTTTAGACTGCTTGACCGAGTCAGTTTTACTTCAGGGATCAAATTCTGACGAATGGCGGAAACCGTACTCATGCAGCCCTTTTAAAACTCACCCATCCATTCGTACCCCAATATCAATTAAAATGCAATTTTTCTACTTTGGGACGGTCTGGCAAGCCTTTGGTTACCGATATCGACTGCCCGACCGAGAAATATCGTTTCGTGACTATTTTTCCAATGAAATGAGACTGGTTTCATCAGTAGATCTTTCCGGTTAAAATTTCGAATTTTTTTTTTAAAAATTTTAAATTTGAAAGGTGACCAGAATGTCAATTGATTCAGACGCCAGACCCAGCCATTTTCATTTCAGGAATTAAATTCTAAAGAATGACCGAAACCAAGTTCACACAGCGTTTCAATTACTCACGCATGCATTGGTACCTCATTACATATAAATTACAATGCAATTTTCCAACTTTAGGTCAGTCTGGCAAGCCATTCGTCACCGGTATCGACTGCCAGACCACGCGATATCGATTCGTGACAATTTTTCCGATAAAATAAGACTAGTTTCATCTATAGATCTTCCCGGTTAAAATTTCGGAAATTTTTTTTCAAATTTAAATTGGTCTGGCGGCCATTTTGTCACCGTCTTCGACTGCCAGACCACTTCATTTTTACTTTAGGGATTAAATTTTGACGAAAGGCCGAAACCGTACTCATGCACCCCTTTCAAAACCCACCCATCCATTAGTACCCCGTTAGCAATTAAAATGCAATTTTTACTGCTATAGAACGGTCTGGCAAGCCTTTAGTCACCGATATCGACTGCCAGACCAAGCAATATCGATTTGTGACAATTTTTCTGATAAAATAAGACTAGTTTCATCTATAGATCTTTCCGGTTAAATTTCGGACATTTTTTCAAATTTTAAATTGGTCTGGCGGCCATTTTGACACCGATTTCGACTGCCAGACCGATTCATTTGCGTTATGGACATAAAATTCTACATGATGGTGAAATTTCATGCATAGATCTCTCCAGTTAAATTTAGGTAAACTAGCTGCTCCGGGCGCCCTACGGGCGCCCTCCACAGCTAGCAATGGTGGTGCAGTAGCTTATTTGGAATCGGAGCGATTAGTTGAATCTATTTAATAATGATGATGATTCTGCGGCAGAAGATCAAGGAATTTAACTGCCTCTCTGCGTTACAGGGTGGAGACTGCCATTCTACCGAAAAATGTTATAAAAAGCTCGCATTATTA